TTTCCTTTCAGTGACATAGTAAAAATGGAGCTGAGCTTTGAGTTGTGGGGTGTTTGTATTACTCTTGCAGTTAGGAAGTTAGTAATTCCTGGAAATGTTGGTAATTCAGGGAAAGTGTACTGAAGACTTCAGCCAGCTAAAAGTGGCCAGCCTAAAAGGCAAGTTATTAGGCAATAACACTGGGAAAAAAATAGTCATATTCGATATGGCCATTGGTTGCAGTCAGAAATATATCTAATAAAGAGGTAATGAATGGGTCATAAAAGCCAAAAAGAGACTTCGACAGATTAACAAATGGAGCCCGTTCACTATAAGAAATAGAGACTCAGGGAAAGCAGATCCTGAAGCCATCCAGCTAAACCAAAGAGAATTTGGGATAAAATAATAACATCAACAAAACCCTTTTAAGGTACAAGAATGCAATGGAGAAAAAAAAATGTAAATGAGAAAATCTAAAAAGCAAGCAAATTTCTGAAAGATTCAATAAGTAGGGCCCTGGTTAATACCTGAACATGATGCTCTTCTTCTTCAGGCCCTCCTCTCCACTCCCCACCCACAGGAACTCCAGTTTGGGTGCCTCCCTGTCATCTCTGAGCTGATGTGTGCACATGGGAAGGTGAGCTGAAGAAGAAAAGGATAGCAGATAAAAGCAGATGGAGGTGAAGCTTAAAAATGTATCCCATGCAGTAAATATAACTGAGAGAAGTTTTTAATCCAGCAAAATTAAATTGTTCCTTCAACATATATTTTTAGGTGGGGAAGGTACCAGTGACCTGTCAGGACCCTTTCATGAGCAGGGATCCCTATTTCCAGAGGCAGCCCTGCCAGGAGTGGCTGCATAGCCCAGACCCCTCCAGGTCAGGGAGGGAATCCTGTCCTGGATCCTGAAGCTTGTCCCGCTGGATGGAAAGCAGTGGAAACACTGTGATGGGGAAGAATCGATTCAAACATTAAGCCTGCATTGGCAGAGCTAGAAAGGGGCTGGATGTGTGGCTGTTCCTGAATTGGTGGTTTGTCTGTTTCCATCAAAAATAAGTTCTGTTAAAAATCAGACCTATGACCAGGGATGCCTTGGTGGCTCAATCGATTGTCTGCCTTCGGCTAGTCATATTCGTAGGGTCCTGGGATGGAGAGTCTGCTTCTCCCTCTCCCTCTGCTGCTCCCCCTGCTTGTGCTCTCTCTCTCTCTCCCATAAATAAAATACAAAAAATCTTTTTAAAAAAAGATCAGACCTATGATGAAAGAGATTTAACTCTTCAGAGCTAAATTCTTAAGCTTAGTTATAAATTCTTTATACACCAAAACCTTTTTGGTAGGCTTAGCTTTTGGAAATTTACATCACTCTTTTCCCCACCTTCTCAAATACAGAACTAGATCTCAAACTTACTGTAGCCTTTCCATGGGACTGAAGGTCTTCATCATGAATCTCAGTTGTGACAACATGCTGGATGGACATGTCACTTGCCCCCACACCTGTCAGAGTGTCTGATTCTGTGGCCCCGTGCCAATGGCTTTGTGCAACTGCATTTTTAGGTCCAGGAGACTTTATGTAGGCCATTTTTCTCCTTCTTTTGCTCTTAGAGTTTGTACCTATAGGTGTTGCATCTTTCTCTGGTAATTTTCTGTTCCCAGACTCTTGTGAACTTAAAAACTAGATAACTGACATTAATCGCATGTAGATTAAAAGCAAGCAATTGCAGCAGGAAAGTCTAACGATGTTTTTCTCATTGTCATATTCTAATGTTTGGACTAGTATGGATTTTGCGACTCAATTTTGACACCAGGGAACATGTGTTTCCTGGTTCTCAACTATACTGTCACCAAATAACTGAGTTACTGAAAGGTACTATGTCATATGTTTACTTTTGAAAGTCGTTCTGACAAAAGGCTAGAGTTTATTATGAATTAATTATGGTAGGATGAAGAGGAGCTAGTAAAACAGAGTGGATCTTGTTCAAGGACACTTATCCCATTAAATGTTACTGCATCTCCATCTGCCCAGCTGTTATGTTCGAAACAGGAATGATGGGCCCCCTCCCCTTGAATCTCCTTCATCTCTGGCAAGGGGCTCTGCTGGGCTAGAGTAGTTCCAGCTTACTAACGTTATGCAGACTTTTGCACTCACAAAGATGTCTGGCTTTGAAGTACAGGAGACTAAGGGTTTTTTTTCTGACAGCAGTGACTTGGTACTTTGGCCATTTAAATGGAATATTTGTCTGAGAGACATTCTGGTATCTGGATTTCAGCTCTCTGGTTTCAAAATGCAGTGTTGCAGGAGGACTGCCAGAGGTCACTCTTCTGAAAATCCTCTCACTGGTTATGACTTTTAGGTCCCAGAGTCTTATAATTATGGATATGATCTTGCAATTACATATTACATCAACCTGATTCATTCTGTCTTCTAGAAATGGATTAAATCCTGCGGAAAACTAAAGACAATGAAAGATTGCCCTTCACTTAGGCTTTCTCGGTTTATATTCTAATCTCCAGTCCTATGGCACAATACCCTTGATAACGTTAGGAAGATAGCTTGTGGAAACCTAATGTCCTTCTGTAAGTTGGCCTTGGGATGATTCCCACTTCCAAAAGACACCTGCCCTGGGAGACAAGCAGGTAAAGCAGAGGAGTGACCAGCACTTTGTTTTCATCAGCTGATTTTTAATATGTCTGATTGGAGTAAGTCGTGCCTTTTAGTGAACTACTTGTAGAGCCATTTAACTAATGGCTCTTGGTTGCAAATACTGCACCCTCTTCCTTTAAAGACTCTAACTACAGATTACTCTCAGAGAGCTCCCTCTCTATGAATCACTTTAAGATGTACAGAAATAAAGTAACTGTCATGTAGGTAGTTATTTAAAGAGACCTACTGAGTATTATCTGTATGATGAACTCTGTTAGACCAGGAGGTTACAGTCTTGTTGGGGAACTTTCAGGAGATACATTTAGCAGAATAGATGGTTTAGTTACAGGGCCACATCTGGGAAAAACTATGGGATAATTACTTCACTTGTCAGCTATCATCAGTGTCCATCTAAGGTAATGTCAGATGTACAACACCAAAAAGCATGAGCTAAATGTTTAAATTTTGGAATACAAACTGATTGGTGAAGAGTGGCCTGGTATGTCCGTTTTGTGGAGATGAATCTAGACATGGTTCTGAAAGGACAAGAGAATTAGATGAGCAGATAAGAGTGGTAAGGAGCAGCAGGAGAGAAAGGAGGGAGACCCAAGGGAGAACAGTGTGCTCATGGGCCAGCCAGGGAATCAGCATGACGCAGGTGCCAGGTGGAGGCTATCTATGGAAGGTTGTCAAAACCAGGTCATGTTTTTGAGGCTGGATGGTAATTAAGAGCCATTGAAAATCTTGAGCAAAAAATAAATAAATAAATAAATAAATAAATAAATAAATAAATAAATAAATAAATAAATAAAAGTGTTATAATGGAAGCAATGGGCAAGAAAGAATAGTTTGGAATGGAAAATAAATGAAATAAAGTTGGCAGAGGGGCTGCAATAATAATCAAGCCATAAGTTTCCAAGGGTCTGGACTGGGACAGAGCCCATAAGAATGGAGAAGGAATGGAATACTATACATAAGGTATACTTTATATTTATAACTTGAGAGGCCATAAAGTTTAGTGGTACCTGAGATATGGGAAGACCCTTCAGATATAAGAGACGTGCTCAACTGTATGGTAGGTTCGATGCAATAGAGAGGAAGGGGCATAGGGAAAGAGAAGGAAACAGGAGGTAGAGCCTACAACCTAACACAAGGACAGGTTTGTCATTCAATAAAATAAATATAATTTTTGCTTGGCTCCCTCAGAATTTCGCTTAGGATAGAAACAAGGAAAGAGAAGCCTTGAATTTATTTGTCATTTTTGAGAAAAGTGTTCACCTTTCCTGGATCCAGGACTGTTTTCTATTATTAATGACACACCACCATCCTGTTGATATCCAAACCAGTGTCCAAACTGGAAATTCACTTTTTTCTTCACTCTTTTCCTTAATCGCTGTATCTAGTCATCTAGAACTAGATCATCTTCCTTTAAAAAAGTCTACCTTATCATTATCCCATCCTCAGTACTTCTGATGACTCTGTCCTAAGCCGCATTTAACTCTTAATGTTTCTTTCATTGACTGTCATACCTGACCATCTCATAAGTTCTTAGGTGGAAGTAGGTGGTGGTACATGTTAGAGTTTGATATGCTGAAGTGTAGTGTAAACTGGAGATATGGGAAATTTTCATTTATGAATAAAATTCTTTTTCTCTCTCAAATTAAAATAATTGTCTGACTCTATTGCACTCTGAAAGGAGCCACTTACTGGGGACTGTGACAACTGCCTCTATTCAAGATCTAATCCAAATAGGGAATCTGCACATTTCATGAGGGATGAGAAGAGGCATCCCATCTTGAACCAAAGAGTGGCACGAGTGGAGACTTAAACCTATCTTGAATGCCATAGATGGGCCATTGCTCACTGCTTGAGCCTTTATCTTTCAGCAACAAGAGCCAGCTGGGTTTCTGAAACTTCTGGGTTCATGGAAACTTCTGGAAGCCACCACTCCCAGAGTCTTTTCCCTTGTTAGAATAAAGCACAGATAGCTGCCGGCCATTTCTGGAGAACCAGAAAAAGAAATCATTTATTTTCCATATACATTTTCTTAGTTCATTTCTCTGTGACATAAAAAAAAGAAGCAAAAACATCGTAAATGGTGTAGGATTTCTCAGTTATACTGCATGCTTACAAGGAAACTTACCTAAAGCAATGTGGTAACCAGAAGTACTTTGAGATTATCAAATGTGACATAATGCAACTTAATGTGATCAAAATAATTAAATTCTGACACCATTCCTAAGGAATAAGGCCAATTTATAACATTAAGTGCAGCATTCTTGATATAATTCATACCCTTATGTTTATGTTTTAATACGACCGATCTGGATATTTATGATGTTATTTTCAGGCAGTTAAGAACATATGTTATATTTTTCAGCTTCTCCAGTTGGCAACGGTTATATCAAGCCTCCAGTTCCACCTGTTTCTGGCACACAAAGAGAGAAAGGACCGCCAACCATGTTACCCATCAGTGTGGATCCAGACAGCAAACCAGGAGAATATGTCCTCAAGAGTTTATTTGTCAACTTTACCACTCAGGCTGAGCGCAAGATTCGCATCATTATGGCAGAACCTCTGGTGTGTATGCCACAACACCCTTTTAAATTCATCTTTACATTAAATATAGTAGATTTTACAGCTCTAAGAAAAGATGGATTGCTTTTCCCCTGATTTCCAAAGGTGTTTCTGATACTATCGGTAATTTTTTAAAAGATTATAATTAAGTTTACTGATTTAAAAAAAAAGAAATGAGTCAAAGACTTTAGAACAATCCTTGGCAAATACATTTAAGTAGCATGCTTCATTACTACATTTAAGACTAATAAGCATAATTTAACAAGAAGAAGTTTGAATCCTAGAAAAATTGTGTTCAGAGTCTCTGCTATGTATATATACTTTAGGCAAAATCTTTTGTCTGTTTTCCAAGTAAATGAGAAAAAAAATCATTCTTCAAGTGGCTGCCTGGACTTTGAGAACATATGGTCTCAGTGATCTATTGTCTGAGGAAGTTATTTGGTGAGTCATTCAGAAACACCTCTTTGTTTTCTGAAAATTGGAGGACAGGAAATTCTCGGCTCACTTACCTTTAGGTCCCTTATTAGACAGATAATGTCCTTGGACGTCAGTATCTTTCTTTGCAGATGATTCTGCTACAAAATAAGGCATGTGTTTCAACCTTATGTTAATTGCTGTAACAAGGGCTCTACAGAGTCCTGAATCTCAAAAGGACAGGCAGGAAGGAACAAAGTCCAATTGGTAGATTCAGATTACTTGTTTTCTGACCTTTGTGGGACACACACAATAAGAGAAAAGGAAAGAAATTCAGAGTGACACAGCTTTTTTCTATGAAGCTCAGCTTTGTACCTCCTGAGAGGATACTAGAGCATAAGAAGACTATGTGAGGTTGGCTTTATAGCATCAGGGCTTAAAATTATTAAATACAAAATTATTGAACCCACAACATAAGTCTTTAAAAAACACTTAATGTATGATGCTCAACATTAACTGTTAAAAATAACCTTTGTGGGGTGCCTAGGCGGCTCTTGGTTTTGGCTCAGGTCATGATCTCAGGGTTGTGAGACAGAGCCCTGTGTTGGGTTCTGTGCTCAGCATGAAGTCAGCTTGAGATTCTCTCTCTCCTTTTCCCTCCTTTAGCCCCCCTACTCTCCCTCTCTGGAAGAAAAAAAAGAAAGAAAAAGGAAAAATGACCTTTGTAAGAATCACAACTTACAATTTGGGAATCAAAATTCAAGAATATTTATTAAACATGTGGTTGCCTGAAAGTTACAAATTTTACATTTTAAAGTTTTTTAGATCAATGGAGGTCATCATCTTCATAAATTCTAGCTTCCTATTATGGAATGTTTCTTGGTTTTGTAGTTTTAATCCTTTAAATTAAACTTTAGTACAGTACCTTTTCCCCCATTTGCTCTTTTTTTTTTTTTAATTTTTTCTGCTACTCTTACTGCTCATAATAGCTAATATTCCTCAGGTACTTACTATGTGCCAGGCATTGGGCTTAATTTATTGTCTCCTATAATCTTTACTGTGACTTTAGATAGGTAGTATTTATAGCTCCATTTACAGATGGGCAATGTTGGCACAGAGAAGGCAAAGTAATTGCCTAAAGTCACACAGTGTTGATTTGAACTCAGGCTGAATGCCTTCAGAGCTCACCGTGAACCCTTTACATTCTGTTGCTAGTCTTTATGTGGTCATCCTCATGTGGAGATACCTCCTTTAATTTCTTAAAACAAACCAACACAGGGCTCCCCTATAACTTGAATTGGTCAAAAATCAAGTACCCAGATTCTCATTGTCCAAAATTGTGCTGATCCTGGGAATGTTCCTCCAAGCACCTTGAGTGCTGTTGGAGCTGCCCAGACTGCCTCCTCCGGTGGAGGATAGGAAGCCACCTTGCTCCAGAGGTCATGGGGAAATTTAAGGAGAAGAGAGTGGTCATTTCACTTCTTAACAATGACAGATTGGGCCTCTCTGAAATTGTCTGTCATGGTGAATGCCTTAAGGGACTGAGAAGTTGTACAAAAGTTGAAAGAGATGCTAACAAGCTGAGGCCCTGAAACCTTTTGAGCCATCCATCTTACCAAAATAATAGTTTATATGCCATTATTTGAGAATTTACAAAGTAAAATGGTTTGGGTTTAACTTTTTCATCTTTACTAGCCTGGAATTTATCTGTGTGGCATTTTTTTTCTTGGAGTAAACATTATGTCTGAAGAGCTAATATGTGCCACAGCGTTCTTTAATCAGAGGTAGGCATTTTTTCCCCATTTGGTGAGACAACTTAAATGTTCCCAAACAAGAAAAATTGAAAAGAAAAAATGTTAGTCCTGTTCATCAGCAAATCTTCATGGTGCACTGAGGGTGAGAATCTACTAGATGCTAAGGGCCAAGTGTTATGTTTTTAGCTCGAGAAATATATCAGTCAATTTTTAGTATTGTTGCTTTTTATAAAAGGGGACTATTTATTCGCCTTGTATTTTTTGGCAGAGATGCGATCTTCCATGCCATATCCATTTCTGGTCTGCTGGAAAATGCTTAGTATTTTTTGTCCTTGTATTTGCTTACATATGGGACAATAAATGTGAGTAGATTCTGTGGCTTGCCACTGGCTTTCAAGTAAATGTTAATGTGCATTTGGCATTTTGTTCTGTAGCCATAGCAAGAGTGTTATTTTTGATGTATGTATATATGGTTAAAGTGAATTCCAATAAATGTCCCCTACTATTTCTCTTGCTGAGTTAGGTCTATGTGAAAGACATTGAATCCTTTTTATGTAGGTTTGTATCAAATCACAAAATTGTATTCTATTATCTTTAATTAAAACTTATATGGAAATAGAAAGGGTAATTTTCAAAAAGTTGGAAATATAGGTTTATAACTTATGGCAATACTCAGTAATCTATACTTTTCAGCTTACTTTTAAAAGACTAAATTCTTGGGCAGCCCTGGTGGCGCAGCGGTTTGACACCACCTGCGGCCTGGGGTGTGATCCTGGAGACCCGGGATGGAGTCCCACATCGGGCTTCCTGCGTGGAGCCTGCTTCTCCCTCTGTCTGTGTCTCTGCCCCTCTCTCTCTGTGCCTATGGATAAATAAATAAAATCTTAAAAGACTAAATTCTTCAAAATTCCACATCAGTTAGACTGTGTGGAATCAGTTATACACAATATTAAATTAAAGTTGTATTTATGAATTTCCAATATCCAAATAGCTAACTTTGATGAAAAAAAAAAGCGCAGCAAGAGATCCCTGGGTGGCTCAGCGGTTGAGCACCCGCCTTCAACCCAGGCTGTGATCCTGGAGTCCCAGGGTCGAGTCCCACATCGGGCTCCCTGCATGGAGCTTATTTCTCCCTCTGCCTGTGTCTTTGCCTCTCTCTCTCTCTCTCTCTCTCTCTCTCTCTATATATATATATATATATATATATATATATATATATATCTCAAAGAAATAAATAAAATTAAAAAAAAGAGAGAACAAGAATAAAGATGGTCTACCAAAATAAAATTTTAGATTTTTTTTCTTTGTAAGCATCTTTCACAGGGTCAATAGTATTGTTCTTTTTGCTGAAAAGAGGGTCAGGTCATATTTATTAATATTTATGGATTAGTCAATAATTTTATTCTACTTTTATTGTTTTGTGGGGTTAGTTAATAGCATTTGCTCTTTTCTAGTCTTATCATTATTTCACCTTTCCCAAGCAAAGTGTTTTAGACAAGATAAATTGGGTCATCTGTGGCTCTTTTTATATTTTTATTTCAAATCAGAAAAAGTACAAATAGATTTTGCCTCTTGCTCTTTCCCTCTGTTTAAATTTCCTTCTTCCTAAAGTACGTTTTTTGTAGTTCTTTAAGTAAAAGTCCATGGGTGGTAAATCATTTGTTCTTGTTTATCTAAGAGGCCTTTATTTCTCACTCAGCTATCAGTGATATTTCAGCTGGGAATAGAATTCTAGTTTGACATTTATTCTCCCTCTAGACTTTTGGTGATATATTTCACAATGTTCCCACTATCATTGCTGTGGCAGAGTTTTTGGGGATTTGTCATTTCTGGATTATTGACTTTGTTCCCTGTTTGCTTTTATGGTTTTTCTCTTTGTAGTGTTCTCAGTTTCACTACACTCTGTTTGGATGTGGAGTTATTTTTATTTTCTTGTCTGACACTCTCATGCTTCTTGAATTGAGGGTTTATATCTTTCATTAATTCTGTAAAATTAATTACTTGAATATTGCCATTCCACCACTTTCCCTCTTCTTTTTCTGGTATTCCTATTAGATGTATTTTGGACCTTTTACTATATTTCATATCGTTTTTTTTACCCTTCTTTTATTATATCTACCTCTTGTCTCTTGCTACTGTATTCTGAATAATTTTTTAAAGTCCATCTTCAATTAACACTCTTGGGCTGTATCTAATCTGTTTTTTAACTTGCCCATTAAGAATTGTAATTTTGTGGGCACCTGGGTGGCTCAGCGGTTGAGTGTCTTTTGGCTCAGGTTGTGATCCCTGGGTCTTGGGCTCGAGTCCCCTCAGAGAGCCTACCTCTCCCTCTGCCTATGTCTCTGTCTCTGTCTCTCTCTCTCTCTCTCTGTGTCTCCCATGAATAACAACAACAACAAAAAAAAGGATAGATAATAAATCATTTCATAAATTATTTCGGTGGAGTTGTAGGGGGAGATTTTCACCTCTTATTTTGTATAGCTGTGTTTTTTTTTTAAATTTTTATTTATTTATGATAGTCACACACACAGAGAGAGAGAGAGGCAGAGACACAGGGAGAGGGAGAAGCAGGCTCCATGCACCGGGAGCCCGACGTGGGATTCGATCCTGGGTCTCCAGGATCGCGACCTGGGCCAAAGGCAGGCACTAAACCACTACGCCACCCAGGGATCCCTGTATAGCTGTGTTTTAAGTGGTGGGATTATTTTGCTCTGATTTTAAAGGTTAAATAATGCTTTATAAAACTTTGAGTCACATGTATGTATATAAGATCATAATATAAAATACATATTTTTATGGCAGGTGGGTGGGGGATCCAGGTTTTTTAAAGTTGAA